GCAATTCCTATAGATAAATGAGTATAAGTGGAAAAGCTACTCCAAACTCAAAGTCCCAAAGAAAATTAGTCCAAAACCTAAATCACATTAGAATGGTAACAGCCAAATGCAGCCATCACTATGATGCCAAATAATCAGTAAATATTATAAAGAGCAATACAATGTTTGAACTGGTTAATTTTTCTATGTTAAAGACAAGAAAAAGACATATACTCTCAAAACAAGGTCATAAGAAATAAACAATGGTTGTTATATGTGTATTGCTATCTTCCAAGTAGTTGTTCAGTTTACCAGATACAGGCATGCAAAAATGATCAAACAATTAGGCTTTAACTGTCCCTTTCAATGAATCAATAGTAGCCAGGGACATAGCTCAGTGGCACAGGGCCTGGTCCTGAGTTTGATTCTCAGTATAAATAATAGAAATTAGTAGCACGATTATCTTAGCTATCTTGTGTGTGGATATATATATATATATATTGTCCCTGGACTGATACTTGGAAGGAATATATATATATATTCCTTCTCTTCTTTCTTTCTTTCCTCCTTTCCCCATCTCAGTTGTTCTTCCCTTTTGGGCAGTTTCTGCTTTTTCACAATATCTCTCTGCCCTTTTGGATTTTATTTACTAAGTAATTTTTAAGAGTGGGAAACTTGCTAAAATTCATTTTAAGAATTACTTTCTTTTGTATTATGGTAATCAAACCACTTAAGTTCTGCAGTACCTTTCTCACATAAGCCAAATTAAACACACAAAGCAAGCAACATAAGGAAAGTTCTACTTCCTGCTAGTCTGCATCCCCACCCCCACGGTGTCTCAGAGTTACAAGTGCAGGTTGCAATTACAGTTTTCCCTTCGGAGTCCCCTTGTGGCTTTTCCAGCAGCCCACAGCTGCCTTAATGCTCCATAAGGATGACATATGTAAAACCACATTCGCCACCAGGATAAAAAGAAGAGTGCATACCTCGTTCAAATTTTAACCGCTGATAGAGCTGAAACTGATCCACAGGTACCAAGCAGGCAATCTGAAACCAGAGACATCAGAGAGATGAGATTCCAGCCGTTGGTGGCCCCTGAGTTGCCAGCCCTCTATGACTTTCCTCACTGCGTTCTCCCTCTACCAGCTCTTTGTAAGCTTCCTTTTCCGTACTTCCCACACTGCAGAAGTTCTCAAGCAGCTACCAAGACTAGATGGCTGAATTCTATTATTTGGACTTCCCAAGTTGGGAATACTCATAAAAGATGCTCTTCTTTCTTTGTGTATTCATTCTAAAAATGTAGACTGTAGTTCTACTTTGGACCCTTAAAAGCTAAGGTCAAGTAGACAGTGCCTCAGGAATTAGGAAAACTTCATTTGTCACTTAGGAAATAGCAACTTCTAAACAATATAAAATGTCTTCATGGCAGTCTTAGCTGTCACACATTGCCATTTGAGATCCTGATAAAAAAGAAAAGCCTAAGACATTCCCTGTGGCTAGACTCTTATTTTCCATTTTACATAGTAAAATGAACCAAAGGTTTACCAGTAAAGAAAAATGATTCATAGTTAAGTGACATTTTAGATTAATCATTCTAAATTATACTTCAAAGGCAGATATAAAACAGCTAAATGATCTTCAGCTAGTATTTTAACAATATTAGTTCTATTGATGTCAAAGTATAAGTACACTGACACTGCTTAAGGGATTTATAGCTGAGAAAATAAATGGATTTGATATTAGCCTTCCAGACCCTAAAAGGGTAATAGAGGAAATAGTCTTTGCTTTGACTATTATAGAATATAATAATTTGGAATCAAAATTGATAGTATTGATAGTA